CTGTGTGTGAAACTTTTCCCACAGTCCAAGCACTTATGGGGTCTCTCTCCTGTGTGGATTGTCTGATGTCTATTACGGGCCGATCTGTGTGTGAAACTTTTCCCACAGTCCAAGCACTTATGGGGTCTCTCTCCTGTGTGGATTGTCTGATGTCTATTACGGGCCGATCTGTGTGTGAAACTTTTCCCACAGTCCAAGCACTTATAGGGTTTCTCTCCTGTGTGGATTCTCTGATGTGTAACAAGGCCTGATCTCTGTGTGAAACTTTTCCCACAATCGAGGCATTTATAGGGTCTTTCTCCCCTCTGGATTCTCCAGTGTTCAGTAAGGTCTGATTTGTGGCTGAAACTTTCCCCACAGTCCAGGCATTTATAGGGTCTCTCTCTTGTGTGGATTTGCCGATGCTTAGTAAGGTTTGAGCGGTTATTGAAGCTTTTCCCACAGTTCAAGCATTTATAGGGCTTCTCTCCTGTGTGGATTGTCTGATGTGATATAAGGTCTGTTTTCTGAATGAAACTTTTCCCACAGTGCAGGCACTGATGAGGTTTATCTCCAGTATGAATCCTCTGATGTCTAATAAGGTGTGAGCTCTCAGAGAAACTTTTCCCACAGTGGAGGCATTTATAGGGTCTCTCCCCTGTGTGGGTCCTCCAATGTCCAATGAGGTGTGAGCTACGGCTAAAACTTTTCCCGCAGTCCAGGCACTTATGGGGTTTCTCTCCAGTATGGATTGTTTGATGTGTAACAAGGTGTGATCTCAGAATGAATTGTTCCCCACACTGGAGGCAGTAGTAGGGTTTCTCTTCCTGGGGATTCATCTGCTGGGCTGTGGGATCCTTGTCTCCTCCCCCATATATAATAGATTTGTCCACTTTCTTCTTTAGGTGGTTTTCCAGCAGCCTCTCTGACCTGTGCCAATTTCCCCAGGCTTCTTCCTGTTCCAAGCACTGGGATAAACTCCCTTCAGCTCTTCCACAAAGGTCCCCTGTGGTTCCACTTCCCCAGGAACTTCCTCATGATGACTCCCCTCCTCCTTCTCACTCACTCTCTCATCACCTGCTGGGAGAGAGAGAGAGAGACACTCCAGGAGAAAGA